TTTATTTTTTCCTTTTCTGAAAAATACCAGTAATATTTGAATTAATTCGTATTAAATGCTTGCTGTCACCAACAAAATGTATTTACTATTTACAATAACACAAATTTTATTATTTCATGGAAGAACTGGTGTTGAAAATTAACTCACGTGGAATAATTTTAGTTTTTTGGTTTAATTATTAAATTGATGGGTATTAAAACTTGGTTAAAAAAAATTATGGTTGCATGGTTGTTGAAAAAAAAAATGAAAAATTGATATACAAATTAATTATTTTTTCATTCCAATTTTATAATTAATTTACTTCAGTCTGCATGCATGATTGATCCATTACCAAACTGCATGAATCCTTCCTTACCTTAGTTCTTGGATATAGCCCATGTTTTTAGAATTTGGATCCTCATGTTTATTTAATTTATTTACCTTTTGATTACTTCATATTGTGAATTTAATATTAACTCTTAATACTCTTCTATGATTAATTAAATATTGGTGAATTTTATTTTAACGACCTAATTTCGAAGTAAATTATTAACTTCTGCTATGATTTTAACAAACCTCATGATGTATTTTCAAAACTAATTTTAGAAACTAAATTTACTGTTTGATGTTTTTTTTTGGTTTTACATATGTGTATGTATTTTGACTCTCTTGAAAATAATGTTATTTCTTAAAAAAAAAAAAAAAAATTAAAATCTTATCGGCTAGTGTAGTTTTGGTGGTATCGTTTTAAAATTTAATTTTAGCCTGATCGTGTGCTATTTAGATGTCTTCATCCAAAGTCAACAGGACAAGAAAACATCTATCTTCAAAATTTGATGTTCTTTTTTCATTCAGGTATGAGACTTACTGTTTCTTATTATAAACTGTTGCTTTATGAAAGGATATAGTAAGTTAAAAAAACAAAACAAATATTTCGACAGGAACTTAATTTTTCTTGTAGCGGTTCCTGGTACAAAGGTAAGATTTTTATTTTGGTATTTGTTCTTATTCCATCTTTTTTATTGATTTTTTATTTTTCCCATAATTGAGTTTTTCTGTTACTTACACTAAATAAATGAAATATTATTAGATTTCTGCTAGTACTGCATGCTCTAGATACTTTCTTTTGTTTTTGTTTTTAAATTAAACATGACAGTAACCACACCATCATTATTGGCTGAATACAGGTAAGCATATATGAATTATTATTTATTTATTTCAGAATTCCTTTGCAAAGTTAACAATGATGATTTTATTACATCTGTGGTATCTAATTCCAGTTAGCAGTAATTGCATTTTTCTATTATTGTTGTTGATCCTAATTAGATTTGGCATAGTTGATTTTTTTTAACTTATTAGCATTATTTCAAAAATTTGAATAAAATATCTGTTTATTTATTTTGTACGTACACACACCTCTTTAAAGAAAAACTTTAAACCAAGTTGTAGATGTATTCATTTCAGAATAACTCCCCTTATACCTGAAGTTATTCAACTTCAAGAAATAAATATTTCTTATTGCCACTCATCAAGATATTGTTCTAATAGTTTGTTTCTATTGTTCTTCTTTGGGCCTAAGGAAAATATTTGAATCTTTTGATCATCTCAATTCTTCCAGTTCTTATGAATCTAAGGCTATCAAGTGCCCTCCAATTTTCTTTTTTCTTTTTTTTTTTGTTCTTCACATTATTTGTGTGATCCCTCTTTAAAAAAATAATCATTGAAGGTTAGATTGTATGGCAAATATGTTCATGGAACTTATTAAAAAATACATTATGGATCTTCAAAAGTATGTGAATTAGTACTAATTCCAAAGCATGTTTAACGAAAATCATGGGCTAGACATAACAACTTTTTCTTTTTTTCAATTTTTTAAAGCTCATTTCCTATTATGTTTACTTTTTAAACTTCTTTAGTCTTTAAATTCATCTTTCACATTTATATTTGGAAGGTTTATATATATAATATCCAGGTGAACAAAGGCTCTTCAGTGAAAATGAACATCTCCAGATATCATCTTCATCATCATCTGTATGTAAGTTTTAAAAATAAAAGCGAAACAGTATCCTGATATAGAACCAGAATAGTTATCCAATTCCTTTTAAATGATTCCTCATCCATTTAATTACTTTGTTTTATTCCTAACATTTTATTTTTAGTATTTCATAGCATTATTGTTATAATATATAGTAAATAAAAGACGAAGGAAGAATGTTAATGTGTTCCTCTTATAGTTTTTTTTTTTATACTAATTTATTTTGACTGGTGTTGTTTTTGTAATAATTTACTTTTCACTTCTAACTCGTGATTGAGGACTTGTAATAAGTAAAATACATTATTGGAGAACTGTAGATAAATAAATTTGAGACTAGCAGCTCAAGCTTGTTTGTGAATTAAAAGTCAGTATTAATTAGAAAACAGCCTAAGGAATTTCAGATTGGTAGAAGTTGATGCTATGTTGCCTTTGCTATCAGAACCTGTATGGATTGATTCTGGCTACAGAATTACTATTAGAGCTGAATAATATAGAACTATTTCCACAATAATGCTTATAATCTTTATTATTTGTTTTTGTAAACATCATTTATTAAAACGCTTTTCAAATTGTATTGGAATCGGATTACGACTTATTTTTATTAATTAAAAGAGTAAAAATTAGTCCTGCTCCTAGCAGTAATAGCAATACAATATTTTGCAGATCATTTATTATTAAAGTTTGTATTTTTTATCTTAGTTACACATTACAGGCCATAGAATTTGCTTTCGATACAATATAAGAAATTATGAATAAGAAGAAATAAATTATGATATTTAATATAAGTTAGTATTTCATTATATTATTCATCGATTTGTTCGGTTGTTGATAACTTGAGTATAAAACTTGTGATAACATTTTGATTTTTAAAATGTAACCAGAAAAAAATTAATTTTATGAAATAAAGACCTATAATTTTAATTTTGCTAGATAAAAATTATTGTTTTATGAAGAATGAAATTTTATAGTTCGTATTGGTCCCTCCTAGTTTCGAAGTCTTTCGAAATATAACTAAATAAGCTCTATATATGGTATGAAATTCATTAACAATATATATTAATAAACAATTCTATTAATTTTTTAGTAAATAGATGTGTGCATACTAACATATTAAATTATTATTATTTTAACTTATTTTTGAAGGAACTAGTTATTACTTTTCACAAATAACAGAAATATATATACTTTTATTTTGTAGTAGTCTCTATTCAACGAAGCAATGAACAATATATAGGAACTCTATTTAGAAGTTCAGATTCACTATATTTACTTATCGAGAAAAAAGGATAATACAAGGAGTAGAACGAATATATGTATGATTTGTCTTATATGAAGCATAATTTGTCAGGGGAAGAATTTCATTAAGTAACTCAATAGCTTTTTGATATGTAATGTCAGAACATTGTGCATTTAGTGAAACTATTTTTTATGTTTAAAAGGATTTATATTATTTGTATGCACTTAATTATTATTCTAATGCAATGTATGCAATTAATTATTATTCTATTGATAAATATGATCGATATTGACAACTACATACTTTCAGGTCCAAATCAACCAAAAGTGTACTTAGTGATTTTTTGCAATAAATTGACGATATGGCCATCTGGCATAAAATAGAAAAATTCAAATTTTAAACTTAAAAAAATGCCTTTCATTTTGAATAAAAATATTTACTAGTTTTGTTTTAATCTTACGTAATCATAATATTATTTCTTTTCTTTTATATGATAATGATTTTTAATATTTTTTAATAAACTTTATCTATACTATTTCGTATAAAATCTCGGTTTTCATGCTTATTTAATTATATATTTTTTAATTTATTATTATTTTCTATTCAACAATATATTGATTCTGACTTGGGGATAAAGGAATGCCTACTGCATTTATGTTTATTTATATTTCTATATCGAGTTTTTGCGTTATGTTTGTGTCATTGTTTGAACCTCTAATGCAGGTTTAAACTTTGCCTAACAGTAAGTAATGTATTTCTATGGTATGTTTTATTTACTATTCCTTACTCTTTTCTAACGATCAATCTTCATTATTGCTTCTCTTATACACAAATGATAAATAATGGAATTTAAAAAAAAACACAGATATTTTATTATTTAATATTTATGGCTTATATACTTGTCGTTGTTACAAACATCTTATTGTTAATAAATGTTATTCTATCAGTGGTTTTAGTTGTACATTTTAAATAGGTTTCCTAGTGCCCAATTATTTTTTTTATCACCGTTGAAGATCAAAATATTTTAATGATTATTAATAATTAAATTATATTATATTTAATGTAATAAAAATATATTTAAATTATATAATATTTTTATGTTTTTATGATTTGCCTGAAATGTAAGCATTTGATTTTTTTATTCATGTAAGCTAAATCTGCCATGGCTCCACTTCTGGAACATATTTTATTTTAAGAATAATATAAACTGAATCTTATTGATAAAAAAACCTTTTATGGAATATTTTTTGTTTTAGAGGAATTACACTTTCTAATTTCATTACTTGTTGCTGTGAATAATGTAATAATTGTAATTTAATTTTTAAAAATTTTAACTTATTTTTCTATTCTATGCAAAATTCCTCATATCATAGTTCTATTTATGTCTACCTATTATTTATAAAAGAGAAGTATTTACTTTGTCAATATAAAAATATTCACCAGTTGCCCAATTTCTCATTAGTCAAAGCAGTTTCTATAAATTATTTTTATTTTATTTTAAGAGGAACACATAACATTCAGGAAAGGTATTGGTGTCATTGATTAATACTAATTTTTTTTTTAGGCTTTTAGTATTGGACTTCACCATGTGTTGTATTTGTTACCCCTTACTTTTCTTCTTCTATTTTTTTACTTTCCTTAATACTTTCAAAGTTGATTCAATTTCAATTTTTTTTTTTTTTTTTTTTTGGCTACCGTACTATTTCAATATTCTCGATTTCTTGGAATTGGATTTTTAATCTTTTACAGAAACAGGAGGAAGAGAAAGAGGTGGAACGTAAAAAGCGGGAGGAAAAAGAAAGGGAAAGGCGCAGTGATAGGTCCCCAGCTAGCAGCATCAGTCGCAACCGTTCACCTATTCATGATAGATCTCCAGCTTCTCCTGCTGAAACAGTTCGACATCGAAGTCATAAGTCAAGCAGACATAGGACCAAATCAAGGTGGTTATTGTTTTATTATGGCTACATTTTTTATTCCTTAGCCTGCAGTTTTAATTTTTTAATAGGTTTATTTGGAAAATTTAACTTCTTTTTTTATTTATTTCTATATTATAGTTAATGTTAACATTTCGAAGAATTTCCTCTCTATCATTAAGTCAAATTTTTTCGCATAAGTTTCAATAAATCACCATTATTCTTAAGACTGTTATTTTCGTTGCTTAAAAATATTGTTTTTGCCTTAAACCAATGTTTTCCATTATAATTCTGGTGAATAATTGAAATTAATGAAAAAAAAAAGTTCTATGGCTAGGACGACACTCCCTAAAACCTACTGTCAACATATAATGTAAATGAAATTTTAAAGGAAGATCAATTCGCCAAAAAAAAAAATATAATTTATTTTATCTTATAAAGATCTCTTGGATGATCTAGAGGAAAATGTACAAGAAAAAAGGGTGAATAAAAAATGTGCATTGCAAGTGGTTGTGTAATAATTTTTTTTCTGATGTGTATAAGTAAGTGAAGGCTGCATGAGAAGACGGAGTATTAGAGATGGAAACTTCGATTCTTTTAACTGAATTGATTCTCAACGATTCAATAATTGTGATGAATCGATTCTCATGAATGATTCTTAGGTACTTGTGAGTTAGCCGGTTGCCACAGACTGCTATCCTCCTTAGTTTATAAGCTGAACACTGGTAATTCTGAAACTGATAATACCTACCTTTTTATTTTTATTTATGGAAATTAAAATAGACAAAAAGAAATGTAATAATAACAAAACACTTTTATTTTACATGTTATTTATTTTAGGAGACAAAATAGCTAGAATTTGCTCTGTGGACTTGCTGCCACATTAATTCACATAAATATAAACCCAGGTGTTGCCTCGCAATTCCTTGATGTTTTTTATTCCTTCGCATACCTGCGTCCCATAATCGTTCTATGTGTTGAGTATGGACCAAACTAGAAGGATCGACAAAGTTATACCAGTGATGCACCTGGAAATGGTTGTAGTTTGTTTCATTTAGTTGTTGGGTGTTGTATTATTCTTCTCTCCTCTATATTATTTTTAATACAGTTTCTGTCTTTTATTTTTAAAATGAAATTCTCGTCTGTTTCTTGACAAACCCCCACCAAACATTCGTTGTTCAGGGAGCACTCTCTTAAATAACTTATGTATATTTCAACCACTTTTCCAGGCCCTCCAATTTTTTTTAATTAACCTGTATAGAATGCATAAGTAACTAAGGAGAGATGGGTGATAAGAAGAGGTTATATGAGATAAGAAGATAGGTTCTGTTGCGACCGCCTTACTCACAAGTATTGTACTTTTCATCTATTTTAAATTAAAAAATAACTTTTAATTAAAAAACAATACAAAAAATAGTAACAAACCTTATTGTTATTCAGGCGAAATGACTGATGACCCTGTAAAAAAAATCATTACTACAAAATAAATAAAACATGACAGTATGGTCATATATTAAATTAAATATTTACATAGTAGGTAAACTAAAGTACAAAAGAGGAAAAAAAAAAAACTACATATATATATATATATATATATATATATATATATATATATATATATATATATATATATATATATAAATAAAACACTGAGAAAAAAAAATCAACAATGTTTTTTTTTTTTTTTGGGTCCTCCCCTTCCTTGCCGTTAAGGCTATACGGGGTTTTCCTGGGCCAGGAGGTGTGGGTGGAGATTTAAAAGACGCCTTGGTACCGGGATGCGAAATCATGACTATTTTTGTATCATTTATCATATATTAGGTTGGTGGTGCTGTGCACAACGAGTTAGCCCATTCGGCCACCCCGCCCACCACAAAATGGTATTGTAAATAAGCATACATTATAAATGTCCGAAGTGCGAAATGCTCAAAGAAGAGTAGATTTGGAAAGTAAACAAAACAACCCAACAATCAATGGAACGAAACCGGAGAATCGACTGATTTCTGATGAATTCGGGAAATCAACCAATTTCTAGTGAGTTGGGGAATCAACCGATTTCTAGTGAATTGTTTACTTTAGGAATTTACTTTTCCATGAGCTTTTCGCACTTCAGACTTTTATTTTTAATTACCTATTATTATGTAAATATTTAATTTAACATTTCATACTTCAGATATTTGTAACCCATGCTTATTAATATCGCTGTTTTGTTTATTTATTTATTTTTCTCTCTGTTTGGTTTCGAATGTGGTTAACGATTAGTAATTTTTCATTAGCCCTGGATCGACTCTGGGGTTGGAAGACCTTTCTGGAGCACACCCAAATATAAAGTGGGTACCCTTAATTTAAAAAAATAATTAAGGAAGAAAACCTGACGGTGGAGTATGATATCGGCTCCATTACCTCCCTGAACAACCGTTGGCCTTGTATTTCCTCACATAGCACTGCATCCAAGACCCTTCATGGGTTGTTAGTGGTACGGGTTTGGTTTGTATTGAGTTTTTTTTTCTCTTTCTTGTACTTTTATTTTAAATATTACCTATTGAATCGACCAATTCCGAAGTGAATCGTGATTCTTTCGTATGAATTACTTTATAGAGTACGATTCTTTCAGACGAATTGACTTTTTGATTCGATTCACTGCCAAAGAAGTGTGAGTGATTAGGGCAATTTAAGTAGCGGTTGTGATCACTTGATCGTGGTGGTAATTTCAGTTGCTACCGTAACAATTGAATACCAATAGTACACAATTTTAGTTTCCATTTTACCTAAGCCTATGATAGCTGTAGACTATCAATTGTCTTCTATGGGTCGAGTCAGGAGGCTGAATGAGGCAATCTTTTTCTTGCTTAAAGCTGTATTTTTTAGTAATACTGAACCCTTTTTGATTAAACTTGAGGGTTATATAGTTATTAAGTCAGAATCAAAAAAGAACATTTATAATAACTATTAAAAAAATCTGATTAGAAATATAGGCAGTTGAAATAAATCTATTATGTATCAATTAAGTAAGTAAATGTTTATAATATGAAGTGACTTCAGTATATTTTGTTCTTTTGATATATAGATGACTAGAACATTTGTAGAGATTCAGTGTCAGTTTTAGACATTTTTGGCGGCTCAGGGCAATGAGGTCATCTTCTCCACAAAATTTAAATTTATTTCTTTGCTGTCTTATATTAAATAATATTTCAATCTTATTTTATTTAATGTTCCTCTAATTCAGTTGCTTTGTTGATAGGCTAAGTAATTTGTTTTTTATTCCTTACAAGTGGTGGGCACCCTACTATAGGTCGGCGCTCCCAAACAATTGCATGGGTTCCCAGTCTCTAAGGCTGGCACAGTAGAGATATTTGGTTAACTTATCACTGGTGTATTATTTTTTTTCTTTGATTGAGTGATACCATTCTATCTTTTCTAAACTTTGCTAAAGGTAACAAAATATAGATTTTGTTAAAACCAATTTGGAACTCCTTAAATTTACTAATATGTTAATATGTTTTTTTCTGTTATTATATAGCTTGGTTGTCTCTCAATGATAATTTAATTTATAAACCACCTATCTAGGCTTTTTAAATTTGATTAATTTTATTAGATCTAGGGAGCGGGACCGTGAAAGAGAACGAGACAAGGAAAGAGAACGAGATAGGGATTCTGAGCGTCCTAGAGAAAGAGAACGGGAAAGAGACCGAGACAGAGACAAAGAACGGGATAGCAAATCTGAGAGAGATCTTCTTAGAGAAAAGGAGGAGGAGGAGGAAGCTAAAGAACGCAAAAAGCAAGAAAGAAAGGCACGAGAAAAGGAAGCTGCTTATCAGGTAAATATTTCAATCATGTATTTAAAGAAATGTTAAATTATTGATGGGTCTAATGAGCTATCCACTAAATTAGGAACAAATTTCTCTTTTCCATGATTCTATGATGATTTTTTTTATTGTATAATTGTTTTTTTTTCAAAATTTCATTAGTCTCTTCTTGATTTCTTGTTATTGTTTCAATGTTGCCTTCGCTGTTTGTTGGTTTTCCTAAGTGTGGTTTTTTATTTGTTTTTTAAATTTTATTAATCCAGGTTGTGTTTTAAAAACAATATTATCATCTTCAATGTGTAGTCTCCATTAGATATTATACCCTTATGCCAGTGTTTCTTCCCTTCCCAGAAACACTTCTAGAACTCAGTCATTTGGATAGCATTTAGCTCTCTCAGCGATGCACTTTTAATTTATCTCATTGTTCATCAGCAAATACTAAAATGCGAAAGAGTTCAGAATTTGCTGATTGCATATCTGATGATCTGTAATTAAAAAAAAAAAATCTAGAGCATACTGAACATGCTGTTAGTACAAAAAGTCTTATGTAAAAATTGAGTGTTTTATAGGAGAACATAAAAACTAATAATTTATTTATGATTTATTAGTATGATTTCATATTTTATTGTCCTCTGCTATTTTCCATGGTCACAGACTACTTATATCAGTTGCAGACTGCAAAATACCAAAAATAAAATAAAAATTGAAAATGTTTACATATGACCTTTCGCAATAAAAGTAGTGATATATACTTAAAAGGTATGTTTTCACTCGTAAAATGAATGGAATGAAAAATCAAACTTTTTGCTTGTTTGGAACTAACGAGACTAATACTTTTCTTCAGTCATAAACAAAACTAATTCAGCTGGAATATAAGAACAGACGTGAAGTTCACACAACTTTGATAATTTTGGAGGAAATCAAGACCACGACGAACTGGTTGAACTTTAATAGAAATAAACACCATCACAAATAAAACTTGTTTTTTTACAAACTCAGAGTAAAAATTAATTTAAAATTACACAAAATCTAAGTAAGATCAGTAAGTTTGGAGTAATGTTTGGAATCGAGCAAACTACAGTATAAAGTAACTTTTTGAATAAAACCTTATTTTTTATTTTAAAATTATTATTTTATAACCTCATAAAAATATTGTATTAACCTAATTCCCTTTTCATATGATCAATGCCTTCCACATTTCACAGTCTTTACATTCTTTACAATTATTTATATAAATTTTAATTATTAAATGGAATTCAATGAAATTGATAAAACATAATTTCTATACTACTTTCCAATTTTCTTCAAGTTTGGGAAAATCAAAAGCCCAGTTTTCAAAATATAGGCGTGTCAAATAATTTATTTGATGTGAATTGATTATTGATTGTTTACCAATCCCTAACTTTCCTCCAAACGAGCCAAATCGAATGTGCGTTTTTAGAGATCTGGACGTTTCAAGAAAAACAAGTTTGGGCATATATAACAAAAAGTAGTGAACAGAATTCAATAAAATTGACATTACATTATTTTTTCTTCTACACCTAACTTTTATCCAAATCGAACTAGCCGTTTCTGAAAAATCTGCATATCTAAAAAAATATATTTGCGTGTGCGTAAGTTGAAGTGCTAGATGGAATTTGACAAAATTGATATGGGACCATCTAGATACCAACCCACCCGCGCAATCCTTAAAAATTTCATGAAAATCGGACAAACAGCAGTGGGTGATATGCCCGTTACATCGATTTGACTACAGACAGATTTGCAAATTTGATCCTTGATGACTAAAACGTAAAATGCTAGTGGAATTTTTTGAGTTTGAGAAAAAAATGTTTAACCCCGCCTGAATATAATGCTTTTCTACCTTTGATAGTGAGGAAGCAAAAAAATCACTAATTACTCTTTGATCTTGTTTATTAAACTTTGGTTGTCAATGGTACAACTATAGAAATAGAAAATTACTTTATTCTGGGATAATGCCCCTTGAATATAACAGCTGTTACAATATGTTTAGTTAATGAGACAAAAAAAAAAAAAAAATTAGGAAATATCTCGGTGAACAAATATGAAAGTTAATTATCACGACTGTCAGTGCTAAGGTCATACATAAAAATTCAATGATTTACAGGAGAACACAGAAACTGATTATGTTTTTATGATTTATTAGTGTAATTTTATATTTTAATTTCCTGTGATAGTTTCCATAATAGCAGACTACTTATAGCAGAACATCAAAAATCCTATAGCATACTGAAGAATAATTAGTTTTTATGCTCTCCTGTAAAACATACAATTGTTACATGCTTCTAATAGTAGCAATATATTACTACTTTTCTAAATATTCATCTTCCTGTTTTATGGAGATTTTATGCCGTGGCATAAGCTTTTTGATGATATCCTTTTAGAATTCTCCTGTCATCTCTTTTATCTACTTCAATACATCTTGTTTCACCTCATCAGCTGAATTTTTTTTCTACCCATGTCAGTCTTCATTGTATTGTATGATTAATTTTTAAATTTAATATTTTAGGAACGATTAAGAGCATGGGAGAGTCGAGAGAGGCATAAAGTCAAAGAAGCCCTCAAGGAAAAAGAAAAAAAGAGGTTAAAAGAAGAAGAGAGAGAAAAGGAAGCTAAAAGACTGAAGGAGTTTTTAGAAGATTACGATGATGAAAGAGATGATATTAAGTATTATAAGTAAGTATTGATTCATTTTCCAACACTTGTTATTAAAATGTAATGTGTAATTATAGTTGTTAATGCCTCTTATATTTGATTTCTTCTAAGAAGTTTTAGTCTCCTAATTTTTAAAAAAATGTTTACATTTATTTGAGTATCCTAACTTGGAGAGACAAACCTCATGGCTTATAGCAACCCTTCTTTTGAGCAGAGACTTAATTATTTAAGTAGACTGGTAATTGAAAGTTGTTTTGTGCACACACTGTATCACATATTTTTTCCTTCCTGTCGTTCTTCAAATTATGAAGCAATACATATTTTGATCCATATGTAAAAACATTTCAATTAGTCGACTCCAGCCAACTTAACCCAAACGTTACTCATCGGAAATCTGACAGGGTCAATCTATTTCACTCTCCACAAAAAAGTTTCCACTTCAAAAATAAATATAAAGCTAGAACAAGACTTGAAATGGTGACAATGGAGGAGATGTACTGTTGTTAGTATTCTAGAGAAGAGCTAGTTCACAGCTCCCTCATCTGCTTTCTTACACCAACATCTTGCCAACTAGGCCCTTCATCCCCAGCTTCTATTTTTGTGGAAGGGACTATTGTCTTCAGGGTCATAATTAATTTAAAATCAGTACTTCATTTTTGATTACCCAGTTGAAGAACAAGACACCAGTATAATTCTTCTAACTTTTAGGGTGTGATAGCCAAGCAGACTTAACCTGTTGGCAATATATGTGTTGCCTTGCCTGAAGCTAATAACTTGAAGATCACAAGTTCCAGTCTCAATATTGGGAGAATTTAACGCTGGTATTAATCACCTGACACCACCCCTTGGTCCAGAAAAAACTCTGTATAGCCGAAAAGGGGAACTAGGGAAAGCTTCTCATTTTTGTTCATCTAACCAAAAATTCACAAGAAAAGAAAAATAAATTGTTTGGCAGCAACAGTTGGCTTACTGACTTAAGTTAATCTCTCCTAGTAGCAAAATGCAGCCTTGCCCAAATTCTTTTCTCTGTATCATCTATTCAGTTTCATACCTCATCATGTTCGCATTTATGTACTAAGTGAATGATTTTAACAACTGGAATCAAACCCTAGGTTAATAAAATGAAATTAATCTTAAATTTATTTTTTTCTTAATATTTTAGGGGAAGAGAACTGGCCAGGAGATTAGAAGAACGTGAAAAAGAGATGGAGATAGATGCTAAAGACCGACAAAAAGAAAAGGAAGAGTTAGCTGAATTGAAAGCCAAAATATTTGCAGGAAATTCAGATGATCCTAATGCAGAATTTGCTAAGGTTTTTTCTTCCTTATTATTGTTTATTTTCAGTACTTATTATAGGAAATCGACAATCACACCTGCAAAAGCCTGTAAGAACAACTAAAAATTTTCAGGAGATAACAAAATTGCATAATTTTTATTCTGTGAGCATTATATTCTCGGTTCAATTTTTTTTTGTACGCCAAAGACAAATATGTATTGCTCTATATAACTTTTTTGATTAATAATAATTAATCTTTTAGAGCCATTACTTCTAACTTAAAGCTTTTTAGATAGTTTGAAAAAAAGGTATTAGTTAGGTAAAATAAATCAATTTTATTGTAGTAACACAAATAACTTTGCTAATAATGATCAAATCATGACAGGGACAAAATCAGTTTCCAAAATATAGAGAAACGATACTTCAAATGAAAATTTGAAAAACATTTAACTGGAAAGCAGCGAGTATTTGATCATACAGGTTATTCACTTTTTTGTCTCCCACCGTATGGACGGCTTGAAAGGAGTGCATGGGCTCCATTGTAGAGTAGTCTTTAAAAGCTTTTTTTTTAACGTACGCAACTTCATATGGACATGGTTGTTTAATTCAGGAATGCTTGTTTGCGAGTTCTAGGTAATCTGCTGATATGTAGCACTTCATTTCTGAGATTCTTGAGATTTCACAGATTCATTATATTGAAAAGATGAAACTAGAGTTCTTTTTTCGTCTCGTGTTAAATTTTCCAATTAATGAAATCAATTCTCTGTCTCTCACTATCTGCAATTCAGTGGCATTGTAGATTTTTTGCAGTTGCCAGGAGGTTTTGAAAGCCGTTCTATATTATATTCCCTCTTAACACTCTCTTCTTTGCTTTGTCTAGTTCCATGGTAAACAGTGTCGTTCTCAGGGCAGGGGAACCCAAGCATTTGCCTCAGGCTGGAAGTGCCTGCTATTTTTTAGAAATTTAAAAAAAGAATACAAAGTGTAAAAATTAATTTTAGCCTATTAATAAAGCTAAATGAAACTGTAGTCTATGCACAAAACGCTTTATACATTGTATGTTTACATGACCACCTTTCATTAATTTTTTTTGGTAATGACACAATCTTTGTAACCTTCACTGTAACTTACAGTTTTTTACATCACAATTTGCTCATTTTTAAACTACAGATTTTTACAAAAAGCCATTGAGAAGAAATGAAACATCGTAAATTTCATCTTGTAGGATCAGAATATATGCAGGTCAAGATTGACCAGAAAAGCTCCAAAACTCATTTTCCATAGAAATTGTCCTTACAGGCTTTTGCAGTGTGGCTGTTGAAATGAATCATTAACATTTCTTGCAAATTTTTTTATTAGCTTACTTAAGTTACTATTTCACTGGTTCTGCCTACACTCCATCGACTGCCAACCATTAATGATATTGTAATTTGCTGAAACTGCTTCTCTTGCAGTAAGCATACTAGTTTAAAATAATTTTAAATGAAAATATAAGCAGATCTTTAGTTATACTTTAGTTAATGGTTTTTGTTTGCATCGGAAGAGAAACAGTAAATAAGATGACAAAGTTATAATCTTATTTAATTAATACACACCATTTTTCCTGGTATTTAAAATTGAGGTTAAGTCATCTTTATACTGTATGGTGTTTATTATTATCAATGTTGTAGTTTTTTGTATTGTTTTAAATAGAAAATATCAGCCTCCAAAGAAAGAATATGACAAATATTCAAATCACACGAGATAATGTTTTGTCATTAGATAATTAGTAAATAAGATAAACTATACAGAAAATAAGAAAGACAAAACAGTTTTTCATTTCATGTTGTTTGACTTGATGATCAAAAAATGTGACTGTTATCATTAAAACTCTTCTCCGATATGATTACATAATCTACAACTGTTGTACTGCCAACAGTTTCACTGCTTCTGGAACAGTGAGGATGAAGCAGTATAAATATGGCATCATACGTAGACTGCTGAGCATATGCAACTGTAGAACTGCAACCAACGAAATATGCTCCTTTCTATTCCACCAAAACGGTGGTCAACTTCTAGCAGTTACTGCAGTGGGTAGTACCAGGGAAATACTACCTTTACTAATTATATTAACTTTTTTTATAGGCAATGAAAGCGCGGGAAGAAATGTATAAACCAAAAATAATTGTTAACATGACAGAAGAGAGGAAGGTTCAATCTGTTGAAAAGGAAAAAGAGAGGGAACGAATAGAAGAAGAAGAAGTACAAAAACGACGCAATAGTCCAGAAGATGATGACGATAGATCTGGAGGAGCAAGCCCTGCAAATCCTTCACCAATTAGTAATGGCTCAAGTCCTGGTATACCTCCTGAAACCATCAAGCCAGGTAGTTTTTTTAGAATTATTACATCTACAGAAACTTTGTATTATTGTAATTCTTGTTTAATTGGATCAGGAGCTATATAAATAAAACTTCTCTTTAAATCTTCTTATACAATTTAATGTTAGAATATCCTTTATTAAATATAAATGCTTTTTTAAAGCTTTTTTTTATTTTTATTCATCTGCTATCAAAAAATATTTTAAATCTGGGTGATTTTGGAAGATGTTTCATATTTATTTATTATTTTAAAATAATTATTTTATAATCAATTACCAAAAATTTTTATATTGAGATCTATCTGGTTTACATACTTATATTCACTATTTTTTACCACTTAACCATTTCTGATTTACATACTTATATTCACTCACAACCTTTAATCTTTAAAAGTATTTCTCTGTGGAGTCTTATTGTGCTTGTTAACCATTTAAATATTGTACAATATTTTTGACTGATTTCTTTAATATTGGTTCTTACCTTAAGTTTTGATTTATTTGGGTGGTGCATAGGGTTAAAAAGTTATTTACAGTTATAATTTTAAATATCAAAATTTATCTGTTATTACATTTTTACATTTGAAATGACAATAAAAATTTATATGACTATATCATTCATAGTCTGTGGTACAGGCCCCTTTTTATCAAATTATTAACATCCTCCTGAAACTTCCTAAATAGCTTCATCTCATCGTAGACTACAAATATTTTATTTATCAAAATTCTCAGAATTTGACCGTTTACAATCTGGAGATTGACAAACTTTATCTATTTAATTAGTTACTAAAAACTCATGAATACCCTTTTGCTTTCCGCTTGAATCATTTGATAATATGATCAGAAAGTCTAAAAAAAATGTGGCCTATAAAATTATTGGTCTATTTGGAATGACCTCCATCCCGATAAAGTTAAAATAATGAGGTTATATTGGCCCAACCCTCCCCCCCCCAATATTCTTTTAGACCACCTTTTTTTCTTTCTTTTTTTCGCCTTTGTGATAAAATTATCTTAGGATTCAAGTGGAAAGCATATTGTTATTTATGAGTTTTTAGTCCCTGATTAAATAGAAAGTTTGCTGATCTCCAGATAAAAACTCCCCAATTCTAGGAATTTTTGTAAATAAAATATTTGTATTATGATGAGATGAAGCTATTTATGAAGTTTTAGGGGGGGGGGATGTTAATAATTTGATAAAAAGGAGTCTGCACCACAAGACTAACAGTATCAGAACTATTAGGTATAACTAAAGAACAATTAATTGTTCATTTCTAATTTGTCATTCTGTCTGACCTCCTATGAAAATTATCGACTTCACACAAGTCGACAAAGTTCTATTTATTTTTTAATGGATTGAACTTGACACCTATGATCTCTCAGCCTATAGCAACAATAATTTCATTAAAACAACATGAATACTTTAATTATATCTTTATATTGATCATAATTAACCATCCCTTTTCTATCATGAGATAATGATGAAAACACTAGTTATTCATTTATCTATTTATTTTATTTTTCAAAAAAATGATCCGAAATATAAATATATAATTAAATAAAAATATAATTTAAAATAATAATTTAAAAAAAGAAAAAAAAGTTAAATTTCCTTATTTTTTTATGTTAGTTCCTCATCCTAAAGGGCACTCTTCACCTTCTGATCGCAAGAAAAAGAAATTAGATGTCAAAGAAGTATTCAATAACGATGAAGATGAAGAAACTATATCTACAAACAAGAAAAGGAAACTCGTACCTTTAGGTAATTATATATTGCATATATTGCAATAACAATTAAATAAAAGTAATAGGTAAAAGTATGTACAACAAATTAATACATGGAGGCACAAAAAGAATGGTCATTTGAAATTAATTAATTTAAAATAATTAATCATTTTAAATTGCAACTAATCATAAAAAATAATTGAGTATAAAAAGTGAAAACATTTGTTGATTAACTAAAAGTGAAATAGATATCATAGATTAGGGACGTGCATGTTCCAGTAATATATCTATTAGGTCAATCCATAAGTTCGTTCGGTTTTTGAAGGTTAAAATAAACCAATTTTTTTTCATACAAAGAATGAATTTTTATTAAATAATGCATTTGCCATTTTTATTAATGACAGCTGGGGCTTAGAAGCAAAAAACTGATGGAGATATTTTTCACATCTCTCTCATCAGCGAATGATTTTCCGTTAAGGGAGTTTTGGAGGGACCGGAATAAGTGGTATTAGAATGATGCAAGGTCCAGAGAATACGGTGGATGTAATAAAACATCCCAGCTATGTTGCTCTAATTTATGCTGTGTGATTGTTGCTGAGTGTGGTCTGGCGGTGTCATGGTGGAATACAACACCTTTACGATTGACTAGTTATAGGCGTTTCAGTTGTAATGCTTGGTCCAATTTCATTACTTGTGTATAGCATGTCTTTGAATCAATCGTTTTTTCTTGTGTTTTATGTTTATATTTATGTTGGATGCAGGCCGGCCTTCGGGGTGGCATTAGGCGACTCTTCAGCAGTTGTCTACAATCTCCTGCGCACTTCATTGTTGTTGGTGATCCACTTTTCGTCACCCATCGCTATTTGTTTGAGAAATGAATGCCTTTAACGGTTCCAATCTTCCGATTTTAATGTTTTAAATGCCTTTGAACAGTTCCAAAACCTATTTTCTTCACAATTTCTCATACTTGTAGCAACTGGTCTTGTTCAATTAGAGTCTTGATGTCACCCAAATCAAACTTGTGGGCTGACCCCTTCGGGTTGCATCGTCGAGACTCGCATCTCTGTAACGAAACTTGGCAAACCATTTTTTAAGCAGTATGTTCTTTTAAAGCATTGTCGTCCCCCATACACCTTACATATCATTTGGTGAGCCTCCAAAGCTCACTTGCCTTTTTCGAAATAAAAAAGCAAAAATGCACTTTATCTGTTGACATATTCAATACGCTCTAGCACTAACAAAACTAATGCCAACGAAACCAGACATATCAGTTTTGAAAAGCGGACTTTGACCTTTCCTATAAATATCATTGTCAGAAAAGCATAGAGAACTGGAGATATTTGAAAATAATTTGCTATACTAAAAAAAAACGAACTTCTGGATACATCCCATATTTTATACTAATTCAATGCTATTGCTAATTCTTAACATTTTACTGTATCGATTACAGTAATTATAAAATTAAAATTTGCATATACATATATCAGTGTTGAAACAAAAATAAAAATACTCACTATGAAATATAAATAAATATAACAGCCTCCTTTATCACTGGCACTCTTGTCAGACTAAAAATTTTTGTGGAATTTAATTATTTATTATAATTATAAAAATAATTAAATATACAATCGAAGAAAATGGTTAGTATAACTTAACGTATAACTTTAATGGATTAAAGAAGTACGAAAAACATACGATAATAAATATTTTAACTATAACTAGATGACTTAGGTGATTCGCACCTAAAACATCAAAACACTCAACCTTTGTATGAAAAGACCTATTTTTACTCAAAGTTGGGTGGAAAATGAAAGTAATGTGATGTGTGTACTACACTAGATTTTTTTAAAATTTACATGTATGCATTCTATAGTTTATCCAATTTTAAACATTACTTAAAAATAATAAAGCAGTCATATACGGAAAATCACTACTGAAAGAGGCTTTCTTCAAAGTTATCTATTACTTTCACTTTAGTTTTTCTTCCTTACATTATATTGCATACAATCTTAAACACACGTTGAAATGCTATATAACAGCTAAGACACAGTTTGAGTGTGCTTAGTAGAGTGTCAAGAAGAGATCTGAAGAATTAATGTTGTCACATTCCCTATCATATTTTCGATCTGGATAAGCAGTTTTCGTTTTTCCTCCTTTATTAATTATCAAATTCTTTCAAAAGTTTTTTTTAGTCTTTTTTCATAACTCCTAACCATAAGAGATAATTAATTACTTAAAATGAACCAAATTAAAGGTAGTTAAGAGGAAGACTTATTGAACATTGGACATTTAAGCCCTGTTTAGCGACATCAATGAGGATATGATATAAATGATATTAAAGACCACTTAGTTATACAGTGATACACCAAATTTAATCAAAATCATTTGAGCCGTGTTTGAAAAATGTGTAACATAGTTGAATAAAGTGCCAATTCCGGTTAGCCGATTTTTAGGTGTAAGTTGGTGTAACATAAGCCTATACATAAATAAAATATATATTTTCAGTTTCGTATGACTTCTTGTTTTTGAGCTAGACTGTTCACACACACAGATCATACATTCGCAATACTTTCCCTTACTATATATTTCATGTACAGGTAACAAAAAGTAAAAATATATATTATTGATAGTAGTTTATTTGGTTTTGAGAAACTACAAGAACTCGTTGAAATTTCAATTTAGATAAGAACTTGAGATTTCTAATTTTGGTAGTAAGTTTTTTTAATGTATTTTGCATCACTATAGTCCCTTCTAATGGAATTAGAGGGTTAAAAATTTATTTTTTAAAATTTGTCTGACATTATAGAAGTGCCTAATGGGGATCTCAACTTTTGTCATGGTTTTTATTACATTTTTAAAGGCAGATAAAATTGTCATGTCAGAAATTTAAATACATTTTTTGTAATGTCCTTAAAATTTATTATTAATAATTTCTTTACCTCTTAAGGCTTTTTTCCCATTTTTATTAATACATGCAAAGAGGTTAACATAACTCTTTTTTTTTTTCCTCCAAATTTAAGTAAATCATGTTGGTTTGCAAATAAAATATTTAAAAAAAAAAACGAATTCAGTACTCATTGTTTTAAAATTTCTTGATTGGTTGATTGATCCTAATGACAGTGTTATTTTCCATTTAGGAAGATATAAATTAAATTTTCTGTTGTGTTCATTTATGATTGTGAAGTTGTCCATCACCTAGTCAAATGATTAGGAACTAGAAATTAACCATTAAAATATTTTTTAGACTATAGTGAAGAAAAGAAAAAAGGAAATGGTAAAGAAATTAGCGGAAAAGAAAAAGAACCAATTCAAGAGATGGTTCCAATACAACAAAACAATAACAAAGAGGACAAAAAAGAAGAGCATGCCAAGAGCCAAGAAGAAAAACGAAAACACATTAAATCTCTCATTGATCGAATTCCTACTGATAAGGCAGCTTTGTTTTCTTATATTCTTGATTGGGCTGCTGTTGATAATGTGAGTGAATTCTTTTTTACTTTATTTTACTATTCATTTATTTTTTGTATTTAGGGATTTCCTAGATGTTTTTTATATTTTTCCTTTATGTTAAAGTATATACTAGTTTGTTACAAAAGTCCTTGTGCATAAGTATAGCTTTATTTCATATTATATATTTTAAACATTATTGAATACTATTCTTCAAAGTAGAGTCCACCGTTTTCAACTACTTTCACCAGTAATTGAATTTGATGCCAGTTCCACTCCTTTGGTTTTGAGGCAAAGAACTCTTCTTCTCTTCCAATTTTTACATCCTCATAATTATCAAAGATCTGACTTTTTAAAAAATGAGCCATTGATCTAAACAAACCATAGTCTGATAGTGGAATACCTAGGCTATACGCAGTCTATATTTATGACGATGTGCCACTGTGGCATTAGAAGCCCCTATTATGGCCCATAATTCACGACTAGTTGCATGTGGGTTTATCTGCAAGCCTCACATTCTCATTTTTAAAACGGCCGAACCAAAGTGTGATAGTATTTCGATGGATATCTGATTTCGTTCTATAGAAGAAAAATGTGTTCAACAGTTGTCTTTGCACTTCTACCTTTTTTGCAGCAATGTCTCAACAAACAAACATATTTGTAGAATAGATTATGAAAGTTGAAATTAAAGGTTTTATACATGCACAAGAATTTTTATAATAATCTAGTAGTATGCTCACCATAAATATCTGTATCCTTATCAGTATAAATAATTTCAAAATATTAATATAGTTAATTAATTTTGTTTTAGCAACTAATGGAACGTAGAATCAGGCCGTGGATTAATAAGAAAATAATTGAATATATTGGTGAACCTGAGCCAACTCTGGTCGATTTTATTTGTTCTAAGGTTTTAGCTGGAAGTGCACCGCAAGGAATCCTGGATGATGTCCAAATGGTAATTAATTATTCACTTCTCTGTTAATATTTTTCTATAAAAGTAGCATTAGTCTTGTTATTCTAGTCTCCTTGGGTAGAGGATATATGAATCGTATTTGGAACTACCAGTGAATCTGTTTTTGTTTTTTTTAAATATAGTTATGTGCCAACTATAGTATTTATTAATTTTATAGGTGCTTGACGAAGAAGCTGAAGTTTTTGTTGTGAAAATGTGGCGCCTGCTTATCTATGAAATAGAAGCAAAAAAATTAGGTTTAGTGAAGTGACTATATTGCAATGAACTAAGAAGGGAGGAGTTGAAAAATACGTTTTGTAATTCTTATAATTTAGAAAATGTACAATATTATGAGTAACAATTTACCACTCAAGTTAATTATAGTGCAGTGCTAAGTGGTAATAGTGAATCAGTGTTTTAACTGAATTGAATATATTAAATTATATTAGCATTTGTAATATATTGGATCAAACAAGAACTTTCGTTCTGTTCGGTAAGACAGTGTACATATTAGGTATATTAATTTTATTACTTAACAGAATTGAAAGTTTTACATGTGTAATTAGACCATATGTAAGATCACACTGTTTTAATTTATTGTTTACAGTTATTTTATTTTATGATTTTTGATCATTTGAATGAAAAATGCATTACAGCTGTAAACACACCACCCAAATACATACTCACACATGTTTCTATGATGTATGTGATTTAATAAGATTACTTTTAAAACATTGTAATGTTAATAAATACAAATATTAGTTGACAATAGTTCCTTTATAATTTATTAAAGTATTCCTGTAAAATATTCATTATTTTTCTTTATGTTTCGCTTACAATTTATTTTAGTATTCATAATAAATCCTTGCAATGTTATGGTTACATTATTATTTTTATTGCTGTTTTGTTTATTTTATTTTGTTATTATTTATTATTTCTTTTTTTTTTTTTTTTTTTGTACTCATTAAACACACATAAATGTTTTTGTTTTTTTTATATACCCTCTAGAAATTTTACCATGTGATTTTGAGGCTTAAGTATCTCAGCATAGAAAATGTAGGCTTGTAACTCAAATTTCAAGAAAATAAAACATTTCCAATTTTTTCATATTCAATCTTCGGTGAGTAGGGTGATTACTTTCATCATCTTTACAGGTAGGTAGGGCATATTTGATTTTTAGATTGGTAGATAGATAGAAAAGAAAACTTTATTCTGGGACTAAGTCCTTTTAGAATAACAAAGTTGTACAAAACTAATAGAATACTACTGGCCTAAAAGTTTGAAACAATAAATAAAATTGATAAAATAAACTAAAAAGTAAAGAAAACCTTAGGTGAACAAGCTATATACAATCAGAAAAAAAATATATACAGAGCATTTAAAACTATAAACAAAACACTTAAAACTATGAACAAATCACTTAAAGCTATGAACAAAACTATATATAATGGTTGAACAATATAAACATACACTTTGAGAAATGAAGAACGAAATAAAATAGAATAAGTTCATTTCATAAAAAAAACTTTACTTAAATATATAAAGTTGATTAAAGAAAATATTAAAAAAAAAAAAAAATAAGATGTATTGAAAATTCCTACGTTGAAAGTAGGAAATACATGTACTATCTCTTACAAAGTATTATCGTATGATTATACCATTTCTACGCAATACATATATAGTGTTAATAGTTAGCTGGTATCTGACTGTTTTTGGAACAGGAATTGGAATAGGAAGTTTTTGAATGTGGATATGGAGGGGCATGCCGAATTTTGATCAGGAGGGAATTCCAAAAGTAGACAGAGCAGGTTATAAAGGAGTTTTGGAATGAGGCAGATCTATAAGAAGGGATGTATAGGTCAGAAGGTCGAGATCTTGTGGTGAGGGAATGGATTAGGACTTAAATTGGAGAAGGTTGTAGGCATAAGAAGGATTTGATAAAGAAACGCACCTAGGAAATATTGTCTTCTTAAGCTAAGGAAGGGAAGAGCTACCCTAACTCAGTGTAGTGGTGGGAGACACGGGAGTGTTTCACACTCCCGCTGTGTTCAGAGCATAAGACAATTACAGGTCTTACGAAGCTATTAATAAGTCTTTTCAATCTATTACGGAGCTCCACCGAGAAGCCATTGTACACCACATAGCATAAGTCAAAGTGGGGAAAGATGAGAGAGGAAACTAGGAGTCTATGGGTATTTTGGGGTAGAAGTGATGGAATAGTTTGAGGACAGAAATTGCACAGCTGGGAGAGATATGAGATATGAGAGATATGTTGTTTCCAGGAGACGGTTTGATCTATGAAAAAGCCTAAATTTTTAACAGAGGGGTAGAAGGTGATGGGTCGGTTATTTAGATAGAGTGAAGAAAAGTTGGTGTTGGATCTAAGAAGGGGCTTGGAGCCAATGACAATGGCCTGAGTTTTAGCAGCATTTAGCCTTAATCTGTTGGCTCAGGCACTAATTCAATCTAAATCTTCTTGAATTTTGATAAATGCTACCAATAACTCAGCGGGAGAAAAGGATAGATAGATTTGAGAATTGTCTGCATAAAGGTGGTGGGAACAATGAATGATTGAATCATTAAGGTCATTAATATAGGAGCTGAAAAGAAGAGGAGACATGCTTGAACCCTGGGCAACTCCAGAAGATAAAGGAAGGTAGGTAGTGGTTGCTTGGGTTCCTTGTGAGAGAAAAGACTGGAACCAAGAGATGGAACTATTGGAGAAGCATAACGATTTTAGTTTATTGAAAAAGATGGAATGGATAATGGAGTCAAAGGCTTTGGAGAAATCAAGAAGTATAAGTATAGTTAGTTTTTTGTCATCTATTACAGTCTGAATATAACTGATAATTTTAATCAGAGCAGATTGTGTAGAGTAGCCAGGGCTAAAGCCAGATTGGAGAGGATCAAGTTGGTTGGATTTTTCAAGGATGTTGGAAACTTAGGATTGCACTAAGATTTCTAGGGATTTTGAAAGATTGAAAAGGATTGATATTGGGCGGAAATCGTCGGGAGAGGATGTATTCGGCTTTTTCCCAAGAGGTCGGGAATATTGAATTCTGCAGAGAGAAATTGTAGATGAAAAGGAGAGCTGGGAGGATTTGAGGGAGACATAATTTTATTAGATAGGAATGCCATCTGGGCCTACGGAATTGGAGCGGGATTTCGTTATAATGGTAATAAGGTCTGTGGGGGGAAATATTGGAAAAATAAAAATTATTGTCGTTAAATGATACCTCTGGAGAAAAGCTGGAGTTAATTTTTATTTATTAAAAATTAAGCCCAGACTTCTGTATTATTCTTTCAGATTTCGAAGTCTCATTGGCCATCAACTGTTTACAAATGTTCTTTTTTATATCCATGCTTAGCATTAATTTATGTATTGAATTCAGATTATTTAAAAATAGGGAAAATCCAGATAATTTTAATGTACTGGAATCTTCAGGAGTTTTCATCAAACTCGGACAATTTTCCAAAAAATAAGTGATTAACCAAATGAAATAATAAAATTTAAAAAAATAAATATCCAAACAATTATTAGGGAGTAGTCGAGAGTCCACCATACAGCCATAGTCAAATTGTGGGAAAACAAGAGATGAAACCAGGAGTTGACGGGTTTCGAATGGAAGAAGATAATGTAGATGGTTAAATTGTTACAAGGTGGAAGTAGTGCAGCAGGAAATTTGGGAGATGTGTTGTTTTCAGGATATTTAGGTCGGCATATAGGTGGTATTGGCAGTGTATGATAGAGGAAGGGAGGTCATTGATATAGATGGAAAAGAGGGTGGGAGATAAAGAGGAACCTTGAGAAAGCCTCTGGACAAGGGTAGAGACACTGATGGAGGGTTATTATCGACTACAACATACTGGAAGGTTTGGAACCACTAAAGGAAACTAGAAGATAAGGAAATATTTTCAAGTTTGGTTAGGAGGATATTATTGTCAAATGCTTTAGAAAAATCAAGAAGGATAAGGATTTTAAGTTTCTGTTGGTTTATGGCTTTGTGGAGATCTTGGGAGATTTTAACGAGAGCGGAACAAGTAGAGTAGTCAGGTCTAATACCGAAGTGGGCGGGGTGACTGAATGGGCTAACGCGTGTGCACAGCACCGCCCTTGCCCGACAACCTGATATATGACTCAAATGATATAAAATATAGCCACGAGTTCTCGTCCCAACGCCGAGGGTCTTTTAATTCCCCATCCACTCCCTCTGGCCCTGAAAAACCCCGTACAGCCTTAACGGCGAGAAAGGGGAGGACCCAAAATAATAAAAAGGTCTAATAAAAGTAAGCCGTTCAAAGGGTTATTTTGTTTGAGTTAATGGGATAGTTGGGGTTGTACTATTGGTTCTAAAGGTTTGGAAAGGTTAGATAACAGGGAAATTGGACGGAAATCATTAGGAGTTGCGGGGTTAGAGGTTTTGTTCAGTGGACGAACAAGCGAAGTTTTCCAGGAAAAAGTGGAACTTTGTAGTGAAAAGTTATAGATATGGTGAAGGATTGGAAAAATGGATGGTAGTGAGGATTTAATTAATTTAACTGGGATATTATTCAGTTCGAAATTATTGGTTTGGGATTTACGAATGGATTTAAAGAGGTCGTCAGGCTAATTCGAAGAAAAGAAAACATGATTGGGATTAAAGGAACATTTAGTATCAAGCAGTTGGTGATAGTTCAAATAGCAATTGAAAATAAAGTCGTAATAAATACTGAGCCTTGAGGTACACGGTTGCTTACCGACTTTCTTTCAGAATCAGTTTTAATTACCATGACCCTGTAAAACCTTGTTCCGAGTAACCTTCAGTGAAGTTTGCAAGGTTTCTCCTCACTCCCCATTGGATTTGTTGCTAGAGAATACTGTGTCTAAAGCATTTTTTTATGTCGAAGAATATACCTACTGAGTGAGTATTCCTTATTGACAAATGCATCATGAATCTTAATCGTTATTCAGACAAGGTGTCGATGGTGGAACGTTATAGTTTGTTAGTTTCTTTATTTTTCTTCCAGAGTAATTATCATAACATGTAAACAAAAAGCTTTCGAGCTGAAGCTCTCCCAAAATTAAATCCTGGATCCGTTAATGACTCTTATGTATTCTCTCCCATCTTTAAACAGCATTAATCTTCAGTTATCCAAACCTGGGGCATTTTAATTCTAAGCCGATGGCTATATCCTCCTCTAGAATATTAATCTCTTGAAGATTCCTCAGGTAGGACCATATCTTCTTCACTCATGGGTTCCCTTGATTGAAAAGCTGCTGGAAATGTTCTTTGCAGATGGTTTTCTTGTGGTCCTATAAATTTACCCTCTTTTGCTCCTATTGTCATGTTAGTGTTTCTTGCTTTATATTATAACTCATATTTCTCTATGTCGGCGTAGAGTTCTCATGTTTTCAGCCTGCTGGCCTTAGACATTCGATGATGTGATTTTCCTCTTCGTAAAAAAATAAATTCATTTTTTAAGCTGTTTTTTACTATGCAGTATTTGAATTTTATTTCATTCAATATTTCTCTAATACAGTTGCTTTTTTTTTTTTTTTCCACGAACAGGCCTTAAAGACCACGCGAATACCATGAAGTTAATGCTTCCTCTTCATCTGCCTCCTCTTCTCCCATATGCCCCTCATGAGCTCCGCGTGTTTACGTTTTCTCTCCTCAGACCATGCAACACCCTTTTTGGAGCGCTTCTTGCCCACAAGAACCGTTATTCTCTTGAGCGCCTTCTTGCTTTATTAATAGAATATAATTACTTATTTTAAACGTTTTGTATTTTTTTTAATATCTAAAATCGCGAGTCCCACTGATGATCGGCCTACAAGTCAGCTCCCCAGGGCATTCGCCCCGGTTACCCCATCCGTTACCCACTGCCTGCCAATTTTCCTCAATTGTTAGATATATTTTGAGAAATTCTTTCATTTGTCTTATTCCTCGCGGCTGTTTATTTTTCGAGAATAGGTTGATCAATTTATGCTAGACATGCTTTCATTTTTCTTATTTCCTCTAAGGCCTATTCTGTGAACC